TTTGAAAATGTTTTTGCCCCGCCATCCCCCCCTTCCCTTTTTTTTTTTTTTTTTTTTGATTAGCGGCAGTAAAGTACATGTTTGTACTCCTATAGAGAAAACGCAAACATAGTAGAAAATACTGCTGAAAGTGTACTGTGTGAAGCTGCAGGTCGTCTTCTAACGCTGCCAGTCTTCATGCTTGATGTGTCCACAGTCAAGGCACTTAACCCCCAGCTGCTCCTGGAGGCTGTGCTAGCAGTGAGTGTGAGTGTGTGAGTGAGTGTGAGTGAGTAAATGGAAAAACCAGATGTGTGAAAGTGCTGTATATACAGCTCTATATGAATGAGTTTAAAAGAGTGAATGAAAAAAAAAAACAGAGCGGTCATCAGAAAAGAGCAAACGCTAATACACCACCATTCACTGCTCGAAGAAAAAAAAATTACCCATGATGCAAGTTTCTGAATGGCTCTCATTCCATTTCAGATGTGTGTGAATGAAAAAAATGGGTTTGAGGGAGAAGAGGAGGAAGTGAGCAGGACTGACCAGAGAGCTGGTGTAGGTCGGGTCAGAGGAGTTCTCCTGCAGGAAGCGGGACAGGCCAAAGTCCGACACCTTGCAGACCAGGTTGCTGTTGATGAGGATGTTGCGGGCGGCCAGGTCTCGGTGGACGTAGCTCATTTCGGACAGATACTTCATCCCGGAGGCTATGCCGCGCAGCATTCCCACCAGCTGGATGGGCGTAAACTGGCTGTCGTTGAGCTGCGGAGACAGAAAAAAAAAAAATAAAAAATCATCATGAATTTGGTCAAGTTTTGGTACTTTTTTTTAGCTGAACTGTTGGTGAGTTTGATCACCGTGACACGGGGAGGAAATGGAGAAAAATTTGAGCGTTTAGTTCAACAAACTACTGACTGAAGGAACATGTTTTCACCACTTCTCAAACTCAAGTCCAAATATTTAATCCCTGATTCGCTGTCATGGTGTTTAAACACTCGTCTCTTCCTGTTCACAGACATTAAAGATGAAAACTGTGAACAAAAACGTCCTCCTCTCTTTAAAGTCAAAACCTTTGACCCCTCCAATGCATCTAATAAAAAAACCAAAACACAGACTAAAAAGTCTTTCTAATTTCTCACTTTTAACTAAAAAAAAAAAAACCTCTCGACTTTTTCAAACTTTTCTAGAATTCAAATTTCTAAGGTGAAAAGAAAGAAAAAGTGTTTTCCGGCTCCTGACCCTCAGGAAAGAGTCCAGCGCTCCGTTCTCCATGAACTCGGTGAGGATCATGACGGGGCAGCTGGCTGTGATGATGCCCTCCAGGTGGATGATGTTGGGGTGCTGGAACTGGCCCATGATGGAGGCCTCGGACAGGAAGTCCCGCCTCTGCTTCTCGGTGTAGCCTCCCTTCAGCGTCTTAATGGCAACGTAGTTCTCTTTCTTTCCTGGGATCCTGAGCCGACCTCGACACACCTCCCCGAACTCTCCTGCACACGCACACACACACGCAGACATTAGCGTTGTTTCTGCAGGTGTTCACCTCATTAGGACGAGCGCCGCCGCCGCGGTCGATCCCTAATGGCGCCTGGAAGCCGGAGCTGCCCTCTGGTTTGAACGAGGGCCACCAACACCGCTCACATATTTATCAGTTAATTGGTTTTTTCGCAGCTTTCAGGATTTAATTTAGTCGAATAAAGAAAACAGACAATGGTTTGAAATGTCACAGACTCAATTTGCAAATTAGATGTGTGTGTTTTTTTCTTTTTTTTGTTATGAGAAGACGTGATTCTCAAGGCTGCAAGAAACACTGGCCACTTTGACACGAAGAGAGGAAAAAAAAGAAATAGTGTAGAGTACATCTGTATGAATGATGGGAAAAAGAGAGGGTGTAGCTGAGGGCTCACCGGCTCCGATAACCTCTTCAATCTTGACAAAGGAAACATCGATTTCCTTGGCAAACTCTCGCACCGCCTCATTAGGGTCTTCGTAGGTGAAGGGGTCGATGTAAACCTTGACCCCTGTGGGAAAAAGAGACGGAGAGTTGTGGGAAAGGAAAGGGAGAAATGTTGGAGAACCAGAGCGGTGATAAAAACACGACACGGCATTGTTTGAATGACAAGTTCAACAATTACGCCACGACATTTAATGGAAGAATTTTTCTTCGACGTCGTTGTTACTGAAATGTGTCAACAGAGATGTAATAAAAATTAAACTGCTTTAATGAAGAAACGCAGCCACAGGTTTGTAAACGGATGCAACTATTTTTTTTTTCCAGTTTGATTTTGATTAAAATGTTCAAAGTTCTCTAATCTTCACTCTTTCACTTCATAAAAATAAAAAACAAACTTTCTCATTTTCCTTGAATCAAACCTGTCAAGAGCAAAAGGCTTTGACAACTTTTCCTTTTTTTTCTCTAATCTTCACTCTTTCAGCAGCAGCAGTTTGTTGTTGATTTTCCTTGATATGAATGAGCTTCGAAATCACAGCTGAGCAACGACGCGCGTGTGTGTGCGTGTGCATGTGTGTCCTTGTTCTGTTACCTTGGCCGACCAGGCACTGGCTGGTTTTGTGGCTCCGCTCCGGACCCTTTACTTCGCTGTGTCTGCTGCAGGTGGTGGAGGGAGTCGGGGGGAGGGGAGGGATCAGCATGGAGACGAAAGAGCAGAAAAATTAAAAAACAGTCAGAAAAAAAAAAGTTCCTCATTTTTAGTGAATTAGTCAATAATGGATTTAAACACAGTGCGGTGGATTTGTGCAACTTATAGCACAGAACAGTGCTGTCGAAAATGACAACGTTTAAATGTTAAGTACTGTACTTTCCGGACTATAAGTCGCACTTTTTTTCATCCTTTGGCTGGGTTTGCGACTTATACTGAGGTGCGACTTATATATAAAAAAATATATGTAATTTCATTTGTAAATTCGTTTGTTATTTTCACACTGACAGCCACTAGAGGGCGCTCTAGCTGGCTAGTGCGACTTATAGTCTGGAAATTATGGCAATCACAGGGTCGTTTTGGATTAATCACAATTAATCATGAGTAATTAAAAAAAAAATCATGATCAATAACAATCAATTCACAGGGTCGTTTTGGATCAATAACAATCAATCATGATTAATCGTGGTCGTGATTCGCAATCACGCAATCATTATTAGACAAACACCATGATTAGTCCTAATAAACGTCACAAATTGAATAACGAGATGAACGCGTGCCCCAGTTGAAGGACGGCGTCAGACCTAATTAAAAACACAAGACAAATGTCTTTTTTGAAACAAAATAAAACCAGAAACAAGGACATTAAAACGTCGACGATCATCGGATTGATCCGTGTGTCTGACGCCGCGCGGTAAAAGTCTGATAATTTATTGATCCCCTCAGGTTTGGGTGCGCGGCGAGGTCAGAGTTGAAGAACGACCTCTAACGTCTTGAAGGACACAAATTTATTATTAAGACACAAAAAAAACACAGGACTCTTCTCGGTGTCGACCTTAAACACTCGTCAGCAGTGTAGAAAAACACGCCCGCGTGACAGCTGCCGCCGACCATGATGAATACCTTCGCAAGCGGCGACGTTTGTGCGCGTGGACATGAGAGGCTTTGTTATAAATGTGCAGTGAAAAGAAGAAAACGCTCACGGCTGCAGGACTGAAACAAACCACTGAGCCACTGGATCTCTGCCTTCCCCCCGTTTCTCTCTCTCCCTTTCTCTCCCACCTCATAAGCCTAAAATAGCAATAATGCACCACCCTCGGTTAGTGGCAGATCTGGGCCTCAGCCACTGGTCTGTGTGTGACTAACTGTACGTGTGTGTGTTTGTGTGTGTGTGTAAGTCACAAGGTCACAGCTATTGTTCTCCTGTCCTGTGGAAACAGGGTTGGGACGCCTGCATCCTGTCTCTCCCTGCCCTCCAACCTCTATCGCCATCTCTCTCAATCTGTCTCTCTGTCTCTCTCTCACCCCCATACACACACACACACACACACACAGACACACTTTCTCTCTCTCTGATGGCACCATCACTATTTACTCAAACAAAGAAGCCTAAGGAAAATGTCCTAATGAGCAGGAGAACTTTCAGCTGTGCCAGCACGTGTCATCATCAGCACGCCTCTGAGTCTTCACCACCGCCACCGCCACCGCCGAACGGGGACAAACAAAAAAAACGACACAACTGCGGAGTCAATGCTGATAAGACACGACACGTTTAAAAAAACGACACAACCGCGTAGTCATTGCTGATAAGACACGACACGTTTAAAAAAAAAAAAACGGGAGAACAAAGTGGTGCAAAACTGTAAAATAAGGGTCACGGTTGTTTTGGATTTTCCATTTCCCTCTAGTATTTCTCTGTTTTGTTTCCCACATCCTGCCATTCTCCCGCGGGGTCTCTCCGTCTTTTTCCCTTGTTCTCACCGTATGCAGTACGCCGCCACGAAGACAAAAGTGACCAGCATCAGCATGCCAACACCGATGAGGATGCCCGGGACCAAGAACTGGGAAGCGGCGTCGTATCCTGAGTCACAGGAAGGGGGCAAAAAAAAAAAAGAGGGAAGAAAAAGACGGAGCGTTAACGTGATGTAATGACAGAAAAGATGACAGGAAGTTTATACCGGCAATTAAGGAAAGTGTGAGAGGGAAGGAAAGGACATGAGGAGAATTTATAATGGAATATTAAAGAGGCTGAATGCAAGGGCACTAACTCATTACAAGGACAAAGGCAATACTTTCATAATGAGAAAATGTGCAAGGTCTGACTCGACAAGAAAGAAAGAGAGAGAGAAAAAAAAATAAAATAAAATGAAATTCAAAATTGAATAAAAAAATCATGTTAAGAGCAGAAGTTTCTCACCGTCTGGCAGCGTGCGGAAGACAGCGACGGGACTGAAGCTGCCGTAACCGGCCACGGTTCGAACCCGAATCTGCACCTCGTACTGCGTGGCCCGACGGAGATCGGTCAGCACCGCCTGGTTCCTGGTAAACTCTTGGTAATGACACTGATCCTCGCTGTGACGCTCCTGGACGGAGAAATGAACAAAAATATTATTAAAAACAAAAAGAGGAATAAATTATTTCATAATTTCCTTGGCTGAAAACAACTGTTGTTTATTATGTGCTCCATTTTCTGTTAAATTTAGTGAGTGTTTAATTTTGTCTGTTTATTCACAGTGCTTCATTATTGAGTCATAGAACACAATAAAAAATTAAATCCAATCATATAGAGAGTTGTAGTTAATTAATCGCAATACATTTGAATTTTTATCAAATTGCAAATTAGGAGACAAAAAGTAAAGATTTTTAATTTTAATTATATTGGCAGACATATACAAGTGAAGTCAGATGACAAAAAGAACAGTCCAGGACTGTTGTAGCTAACGTTAGCTATATTATATTAAACTATAGTTCATGACCTGTGAACCCAGTCATCTGGACTACAACAGCTGTTGTAGCTAACGTTAGCAACAACAACTGTAGTCTCTGTTGTCCAGGACTGTTGTAGCTAACATTAGCTCTGGTGTCTGTACCAAGATTGTTGTAGCTAACGTTAGCTCTGGTGTCTGTCCCAGGGCTGTTGTCGCTAACGTTAGCTCTGGTGTCTGTACCAGGACTGTTGTAGCTAACATTAGCTCTGGTGTCTGTACCAGGACTGTTGTAGCTAACGTTAGCTCTGGGGTCTGTCCAAGGACTGTTGTAGCTAACGTTAGCTCTGGTGTCTGTACCAGGATTGTTGTAGCTAACGTTAGCTCTGGTGTCTGTATGAATTTCCTGTTAATCGCCTGTTTTTAAGGAAACCTTTTCTTTGCTGTTAATGTTTGTCTTTTTTTTTTTAAGAAAAAGTTTGTGGCCTGTTATTAATCTGCGTCTTAAAAATGCAGGTTGAAGACTGAACAGTGAATTTGGTTCATTTGGTCTTAGCCCTGCTGCTAACAGCCAACAGATCATTTATTTAGCAGCAAACAGCTGGTAAATAAATGAAGTCCCATCTCAGCACAGCGGTCCAATTAAACATCCTCGTTGAGCAGTAACTGCAGGCTGATAGGACTGTGTTCATGTGACGGTACTGAGGAGTAGGAGGAAGAAGAGGAGGAGGAAGCTCTCACCTTCTCACAGTAGTAGAGCTGATACTGCAGGATGGTGTACGGCTGCTGAGCTGGGACTGACCAGTGCAGAGTCAGACTGCTCTCCGTGGAGTCACTCTTCCGAATTACTGACACCAGTGACGGCACTGCAGAGGAAGGAGTCATAAAAACCACATCAAGTTCAGACTATTTTTAACATCTCCATTTTTTTTATTTTTTTTCGTCTCCCGTCTCCTACCGTCATGGTTGGAGGTGACGTTGACGCTGTCGCTGGCCGGCTCCTTGCCGCTCAGCTGGGAGACGCCGTTGAGCGCCTGCACGGTGAAGGTGTAGGTGGTGTGAGGCAGCAGGCCGTAGACCTCCACCCTCCGACCCAGGAGGCTCTGCTGCGCCGGCCGGTAGCTGACGCTGTCCCTGCAGGGCAGGCACATGCCCCTGGAGGGCTGGCACACGGAGCACCTGATGGAGTAGCTCAGGTCGGATCGGTCGCCGTTGTCCAGAGGCTCGTTCCACTCCAGGATGAGGGTGGTGGCGTTGATGTGGGAGCTGATGCTGCGCGGGGCTGACGGGGGCTCTGTAGTGACAAACAGGGTACAAGAACAGAATTAAAAGAGTTTATTAGACTAGACAGAACTGTATAAAGGATCAGTAAGATATTTAAACCATGGTGACGTTTGAAAAATGCAATAAAAACTCACTTCTATTTTTTTGCTCAAGCAAAAAAAACAAAAATAACAAATGACAATAATTGTATTTTTAAAACACAAACTAATTTTAAGCAAAAGAGAGAAATAAAAACAACCAATGGCAATGATTGTATTTTTAAAACACAAACTAATTTCTACCAATAATGAAGAAATGTTTAATAAAATTTTAATTTCTTCTTCTTCTTCTTTTAAAAAATAAAACAT